GGCCCATCACATGATCTTCCTGCCTTAGCTCCGAATTCAGACATTTGTCCAAGGACCCCTGGTTCCTTTTAGTGGAAAATAGTATTTAAAAGCTAAGATCCGAATTCTAGGTGTGCTCCCAAGGCCTCCGAGGAGAGCTAGGGAATATCTGTGTGTATGTGTACGTGTGAGCATGCAATACACCTCTATTAATTTCTGCATCTGCTTAAGTAGATCGAAAACCAGGAGCGCACACACATACCTACAATTCCAAACTGCTCCTGAAGGGTTGTTTGTTCTGTGGCTCTTTCTGAGGTTGTAACTCTGCCCCTACCGAATGGCTTTAGAACAGACTTGTTCAGCAAGAGAAGGGCCAGGAACTGCACGGTAACTCCATGGTCATTGCCAAATTGCCTTGCAAAGAGAATGTACACTTTATACTCCCACTTGATATTTTTAAACTTTTTCTTCTGCCAGTATAGTATCATAGGTGGGAAATGTCATCTCTGATGCTTTAACATGAATTACTTTCATTATAAGATAGCTTGATCATCTTTTTTAAAGATTTTATTTACTTGACAGAGATCCCAAGTAGACAGAGAGGCAGGCAGAGAGAGAGAGGTGGAAGCAGGCTCCCTGCTGAGCAGAGAGCCCGATGCGGGGCTCGATCCCGGGACCCTGAAATCATGACCTGAGCCGAAGTTAGAGGCTTTCACCCACTGAGCCACCCAGGTGCCCCAGCCTGATCATTTTTTAATGTTTCTAATGACAAATAGAGGCACTTGACAAGAAAGGAGTGTTGTATTTGGATGCTACTGCTGTTCTTCAATCTCTGTCTTAAAGGAAACAATTCAAAAAACAAAACAAAACAAAAACAATTCAAAAAAACCAAAACAAAACAAAAACCACCACCAAACCCAAAAACACTTCTTAATTTTGGAATCGCTACCTGGCTGTTGCTGGCTGAAACTTGTTTGCAAGCGCCGGGTCTCCCTTCCGTTGTCCACCCCAAAGAGCAAGTGAACTGGCCCATGTGCTGGAGACTTGAATCAATCCTGTGATTTCTGAAGACGCCCCCTACTGGCAGGGGCCAGGCGCTGGTGGATTTCGACCAGAAAGTCCCCTCGGTTCAATGTTCCATTTTTGTGCAGAATAGACTCTGGGACAGCAAGTCTCCAGGCACTTGTCTGTGGGTGGGCTGAAATTGCTTTCTTGTGATTTAAATAAAGTTTAGTAGAAAAAGAAGAAAAGCATTTCTTATTTTGGTAGCTCTTAAAACCACTATGTATTAGGTTGAAATTGCCCACATCTGACCTTTTTTTATTAACCTGCCAACACGGCAATTTGGGATGATTCATAGTTGTATATGCTGGTACTTTTCTCCTACAGGTCTCTATGGCCCAAAAAGTCCTCTTCACACTTCCCATGCCATGGTTCCTTGTTCTCTTACTCCCCTACCTATAGTATTGCAAAGAAGATCCAGATTTATTTGATGCCAAATAAATAAATGGCACCTTGTTGGGAAAATCTTCGCTCATCCCCTAAGAAATGAACTCTTCCTCCCTCTTCACTACCCAGGCACTGCGCTGGTGCTGTGTTAGACATTCTTTAAATTCTGCCTTAAGTTTAAGGTAGCTGCTTAATCTCTTTCTCCCTATTAGTCTGCAAACTATTTGAGGTCAAAGACTAAGTCTTATTCCCTTTTGTGCCCTTGAAATCCAATACCAGGCTTTGTATAAAGTGGATCTAGAACTTTAAAAAAAAAAGAAAGAAAGAAAGTTTGTTGAATGAACGAACAAATAAGTGCTTGGAGCAGGAGTGGGGATGGCATTCCGTCCCAAATTCAAGCTACAGCACGGGAAGTCCCTCTAAGTCTTTGGAACCTTAAGACTCAGGGCTCAAGGGCTTAAGACAGAGGCTCAAGGGCTTAGGGACCACCCCAGAAGTCAGAGCGGGCTGCATGCTTGGTGTTTGTGTCAAGTCATAGACCTTCCTTCACACACCCCAAATCACCCCAGATGGTCAGCCCTGGCCGGCACAGGCTTCACCTGCAAACAGGCTGCCCTTGCTGGGGGCTGCTTACTTGCTCCTCCAGAGAAGCTGTGTGTGGGGAAGCCCATCCTTGCCAAAGCCTCCGCAGTGCCGTGCCAAGCTGAGAGTCATCTACTACCCCAGGCTCACAAACAGTTCAAGCTGCCCCAGACGGGGCTGCTCCGGACAATCCTAGGTTATGAAATTTTCTTTTCTGAGGGCACTGGGGCAATCATGGAAAATCTGAAACGCCCAACAGTTGTTCACCCCGTGAGTGGCATGGGATGGGATGGTCCCCAAGCCCTGAGATGTTCCTCTACCACCCAGGAGCTGACAGGAGTGAACTATCAATGTATCAGTGTATCCATCCATCTATCATGCGTTATTGGATCTAGAAGGGGAAATCACAGTTTTGACTTTTCATCTCAAACATGGACATCTTAAACATCCAACTTGCCCAATTTTCATTATGTCTTTTGTTATAAAGAGTAGACAAAACCATACTTCCTGAGAATTCAACTTCAGGAATAATGACACAAGTGTGAATCAAAATAATACCATTTTCTTTCAACTGGCCTATTTTTTAAAAAATAATTCTCCATGCTGGTGGGGCTGTGGGAATGAGGGTACAATTTGGATTAACCTTCTTGGTGGGAGATTTGAGATACAGCAAAAGCCACTAAAATATGTGTTTCTTTTGATCTAGCATTTCGCTTCCAGTCATTTATCCCAAGGAAATAATTTAAAATGCTGTCAAACCCTTGTTTATAAAAATGTAAAAAAATTTTTTTTTGGCAATCTACAAATCCAAATTACCAATAGAAAACCATGCAACTATTTAAAATGATGTAGATTGATGTTCTATGAGATTGTAATGGATTATAAACTTTAAAAAACCCAAATACTATTTACAAATGATGTTTTAAAAGAGGAGACTATATTTAGGCATAGGAAAAAGACCAACATTACCAGTAGGAGGTGGTATTATGAAAGATTTTAGTTTTCTAAATTTAGTTTTCTAAATTTCCTGAAATGAGTACGTGTTACTTCGGTGTATTTAACAATATTTTTAAGTGGTCTGAGAAAGACTTCCCTGAGAGATGACTACTTTTGTTGTCTAGGGGTCTGGTCTCCACTTTTCAAACTAGGAGGCGAGGGTCCAGCCACAGGGCGGGGAAATTCCTTTTCTGTCCTCCCCTCCATCCTTCCTCACCTGAGGGGAGCACTTCAAAGCCAGCCCTTTCCCCAGCAATTGCTCCTTCTTCCTCCCCTCATCAGTCTTCAAGAGAAAGGTAACAAGCCCATGGTTGACCCCAAGTTGACAAGGCTGCCTTCCCCAGCATTCCTTACCTGATGGGACACGCTTCTGCCTGTTCTCCAGCGAAAAAGACTTACCTCTCGCGGAAATAAGCAGTCTTTCCTTTTTATATACATTTTTCCTTGTGGGGGAGCAACTCCTGCTGCTTTGTGAATTTCATCACGGTCTGAAATGCCTCCTCCCCTACACCGTGCTGGGCACTTCCCATTCTTCGAGATTCAAGATTAGAGTCCTTTGTTCCCCTAGTGAATGGTGTGATTTCCCTGCCAGGACACTGGTTTTTCCTGTGCCTGCAGCTCCCTGGTTGGAACAGAGACTGAAAGGCAGAGGGGGGGCGGTGAGGGCCTTGGGAAGCAGGCAGCATCTGCGGGGCTGGGAGATGGCACATGGAAGGGAGGATCACTTCCACAGAACTACCTGGGTTCAAGTTCAATCCCAGCCCCATCTCGGGCAGGTTAATGCACCTCTTTATGCCTCGGTTTCATTATACGTGGTGTTGAAGTGCTGAGTGATACACACAGGGTGCCAGAGCTCTGCCTGGTATGGGGTGAGCGCCTGGACAGATCTGCCGGTACCACCGCGGACTTTTGAGAAGCTGGTGAAATGCTCTTCCCTTCACCTCCGTGCAGCAAACGGCAGCGATGTTTGTGTGGACCCGACCTGAGGACTGGGGCTACTAAGTGGGGAGACTTGGCACGGATGATCCTAAAACGTTTTCCCACCTGACGCTAAGTATTACAAAAACACATCCTGCCCATTAATTACCAACCCAGAGCCAATTCAAGAGTGGCCTGATTTTTTATCCCCAAGTTCCCCATCTTCCCTCTTCTCGCTCCCTTACCACCTGTGGTAGCTGTTCTGACCCAGTCGGCCTCTCCGCCTCCATGTGCTCTGCCCTCTGGTCCTAGGATCTCCCAGTCATTTTCCCTCCCCAGACCATGCCTCCATCTCCCTGTCTCAGAGAAGGGTTGCTGGCTGCTCGCACTGCCTTCCTCCCAAGACTGACAGCTTCTTACGTGGTCTCTGGGTACAGTATTATCCCCCTGACATTCCTCTTAGGAGATGGAGAGCGTGTCCCCCCAGAAAAGGGGAGCTCACTAATCATTGTTTAACACTGTCAGAGCACTTGCAGCCACACAGAAGACAGTCAAACCTCCCCACTCCTCGCTCGAAGGGCCTGGGCCGCCCAGCCTCTGCCCCTTCTCCCCTCAGCCCTGGGCCCCACTCTTTTCCTTCTACCCCCAACCCCGCACCTGCTTTCTGCTGCCTCGGGGCCCACAAGCACGTGTGGTGTCCCGCCCCTTAGCCTGGCTGTGTGTGGCCCTTTCCATCTAAAGGATGTTCCCTGACTGTGCCTGGGCATAGCTTCCCTCATCGCAGAGGCACGCTGTTGGAACTGCCCGCTTTCCCGCCACAGGTTCCACGGAGTCCCAGTACAGCACAGTGGCTGGCACTGAGGACGTCTGAAGAGACACGGAATCTGTTTCCAGCAAGGCCTGTGCTCTCCCCTCCCTGAACAGCGCACTCCCTGTCCCGTCTCCTCTTGCTAGGGACCCCTCCCTAGAGCTGGGGTGTCGTCCCATCATGAGCTCTCACCACATACTCTCTTTTCCATATCAGGTTTCTGCAAAGACTGTCTGGAAGGATCACATCTCTCACAACTGCCTTCATAAGAACCTTTTTTTAATTATTATTTAGAAATGCAGTTATATACATAGAACAATTAAAATTAAATTAAACTTTGTACAAATATTAAAATACTATCTTCACACCCACTGCAATGTACAGGATACCAAAAAATATATATATAAAATAAAATAAAGCAAACCCAAACTGATTGAGTGACATCCTGCACAGTCAATGATGCACGTGTCATTTGAAACCATTATATAGGAGTACCATTCTGCAAAGGATTCCATAGTGGTGTGATAAGAAGCCAGGGCAGGGTGTGGTGGGCTGCCATGCAACCCGCGTCCATCTCTCCTCCTGCCTGGCAATCTGAGTGCTTGGCCCCTACATGCCCTCCAGCTAGCTCTGCTGCCGACAGAAGCCTCAACCTGGAGATTTGCATTCAAAAATTTGATTAGGTTTTCAACTGGAGACTGAGAGGAGCTGCTTCCCAGCAAAGCTGAGCCTGCTGCCTTTCCCTGTCCAGGGAACCAGCTACTCTACCACTCGGTCCATGCTTCTGCCAAGCAAAATCTCTTCCAGCCCCTCCGTGGGCACCGGTAATGACTGGCCTTCTGCTGAGAGCCAGGGACCCCAGCAGCAGCCCCGAGAGAAGCCCCCAGAATCACTGTCCTCAGCAAGCACATCTGGAATTAAGTTATAAAGCCTGTGTACCACTTCCCTTCTGGGTCCTTTATTCTCTGTGAGGAGGAAAGAAAGGCAAGGATGTAGAAGTGTTTGCAGCATATCCCATTCCCTATGTGACAATGTTCCCTGCGAGTGGAAGAGACACTGCTGTGTGGCGCGCAGGTGCTTTGAGAGCTCAGGCAAAACTAGGAGGGGAGAGGCTGAGTGCCTGTGGATCCCTATGCCAGCACTAAAGAAGCAGGAAAAGTCTACCTTTGTCTTGCCATCAGGCTTCTCCACAGAACTTGAAAGCTGGGGGGAAAGGGGAGAGGCGGAGGAGGAGGAAAGGATGAATGGGGAAGACAACATGAGCTTAAGTTCTATTTGCAAATGGAGTGTTAGTAGAATGCACAATGAAATGCCTTGCAAAGCCAAAAGAACTTGCAAAGTGGCTAGGACTCAGCCCATTTCACAGTTCACACCAGTGAAACAGGAACACAGCACACAAAATTCAGAAATGGCAAAACAGAGAGCCTATCTGCAAAACTAAGGCATTGAAAGGGACGGAAATCTTAAGTGATTTTCACCACATACTGGCCCTTGAAAGTCGCTGGCCTGTGACAGCAAGTCACCAGGATATAAAACCTGCACTGAGTCAGCTCATGTGTGCAAAAAGACACTTTTAGTCCTTTGGTGTGGGCCATTCTCCTGGACAAGCCCTCTGCTGGACTCCCCTAGATGTGAGCCCTGGAAAGCCAGGCCCTGGGCAGTTTCTCCCACCCACTCTAGGCTCTTTTGGCAGCCTCCTGACTAACAGCCTGCCACCTGCCACCACCCTTGTTTTTCCGCCAGGCTCCACCTTGAGGCAGCTGTGGAATCCCTAATCCACAAAGCCTGGAAGCCCTAGAAACATCAGCACCTGGCTGATGGCTGAGCAACTGCTTCAGAGAAGTGCAAGATGAATGGGAGGCCTGGGCAAAGCCAATGATGTGTGGGGGGGTGTGGATGGAGAGTGCTTACACTAACTTCCCATTTATCCAAACTTTCTTTCCTACCAGGCAGGCAAGTCTGGGCTTGTGATCCCCAGGATGGTGTTAATGGCGGCCGAGGTGGAAGAAGGCTTTCCTTCCCCACCCCCCACCCCCCCGCCCCTCGCAAGGGCTGAGCTGGTCACCCATGTGGCTGAATAAACCCAAAACAAACAGCACAATCTCTTAGGCGAGAAAACCCAGAGTAATGATATAAAAAAGGGTAAGAGCTTCCATTTTAAAAAATATTCTAGACCATTATTCTGGCTGTGAGCCCAACAGTGAGACTTTGGATCCCTCCACCATTTGTCCCTGCTTTCTTTTCTGGAGGAAGACAAGGGCACCCCTTTGGGTAAAGGAGAGCCCACGTGTGATGAGGCAACCAGGGTCCGTAGGGACCCCACGCTCCAGATGGGCCCCGTGCCAGCCCCTGCTGGCAGGCACGTCTCCGGAAACGGCCTCTTTGGAGGCCAAGGACAGGCCCCCGGTCTTCTGCAGGTCCCTCAGAGGCCTGCGTCCCAGCACCCCTGCCAACCTGCTCCAGATGGAACCACGCCGGCCAGGGCTTTACACACAGCATGTGAAGGCTCCTGGGTGGGGAAGGGGAGAGACTCGGGGGTGCCCGCAGGCCCAGCAGGCACTGCCCTTACCCTGAGCGAAGGAAGACTACAGTGGTGCCAGGAGGCTGGGAACGAGCGGGTAGTAAAGTGCGTGTGAGAGGGATGCAGGAGGCTGAGAGGAGGCCGTTCCCCTCATTTTTGTGGCCGCTCACGCCTGGAGCTACCCTGTTCTTCAGGTACTGAAAATACAGGGGTTCTTTATTGTTTTCACCAGCCCAAACAGAGCGGCTCGGGGACGAGCGGAGGTGCAGGCGGGGTCAGCGACAAGCGTCTCAGCCCCCGCGCTTCAAACACAGAACAGAAGCAAGCCCTCCTCCGCGCCACATCTTCTGCAGACGGCAGCAGCTGGCTGAGCTCTGCCACCCCGGCCTTGGTCAGCATCCACAGGCGGCCGAGCGCGAGCACCCCCGGCAGAAGCATCGGGGAGCACGGAGCCCACCCCCTTCGACAGCAGAGCCCTGGGGCCAGGCTGCCTGGCAAGCTTTCACCCACAGCAGAGCAGCAAGGCGGGGTGTCTAGAACAGTCAGCCCCTCTCCAGGTGCGCGGGGAGAGCGGGGAGTCGTCCATCAGCGGTGACCCGTGGAAGGGTGGGAGGGAAACACGACTAGGAAAAGCAGCGGCACAGCAAGCAGCAGCACGCTTCCTGGGCACAGCTACTAAGGCACGTGACTGTGGTGACGAGGACCCTCAGGACTGGGGCGGAGCTGCCTGCAGCTGCCTGGAGACTCGGTCTGTGCCTCTCAGGCTTCTTTCGTCACCACGAACCCAGAACGGGGCAACTGCCCCCAATGCCAGTGGCCATGCGGGCATTCTGCAGAGGCTCAGCAACTCTCCCGTCCCAGCGATGATTCACGCAGGCCCCTGTGGGCAGCGAGGAGGCGGAGGTTGCCAAGGAGCCAACCCAGGAGGCAGCAGGCCACTTCCCCTTACACTCCAGTGAAACAGAGAAAATCAAGGCCAGGAAGGCCGATGCTGGAAGTAGGAAGTGAGGACTTGCATATTAGGAAGATACTCATTCTCAGCCACCTTCCTTCCCTCCCTCGGCATCTTCTCCATGCTTCTTGGAAACTCAGCACGGCCAGGATCCAGCACCTCCGAGCTGGACGGCTGGGCGCTGGGAGAGCTTTGGCATGATTTTCCACATCCTCCATCCTCAGCCAAAGAAATGTGCCACCAGTTATCAACCAAAGGCAGGCCAGGGACCCGCATTCTCGCCCTAATCACAGCCACGTTTGGATCTGCTCCTGCTAAGGGCAGCGGCGCCAGGCCAGCTCCAGCCCCAGGCCTGGCACCCTGTGCGGCAGAGGGCAGCAGTGCAGCCACTGAGGCTTGTAGGAAGGCAACCAGCCTGCCTGACAGGGGGACTGGAGGGGTCGGGGGTGGGGGAAGGCACAAGTAAACACAGCGGCTCTCAGGCCCGTGCGGGCTGGTGGGGTCTGCCGCCAAAGAGCTGGCTGCGGGGGATCCGGAGGGCTCAGGGAGAGGAAGAGTTCTGTCCAGCACATTCAAATATGTCCCCGACACAGATGGGAAGGCCGGGCTAGGCAAAGTGCCAGCTCCTCCAGCTGTCCAGCAGGCAGATGGCGAGAATCTTCCTTGAGTTTCCAGCAAGGTGGGCGTGGAGGCCCTCAGAGATACACAGATACACAGGTGGCGGCTCAGGTATCCGGGTAGGGTGGCTGGAGTACAGGGTGCTCAAACCCACAGGGAGAGGGATGAAGGGCAGAGAGGACCGTCGCAGAGAGGAGAGGCCCATGGCAGCGCTCATGCTTCTTTCAACAGTGGGATATCTGCAGGAAGAAAGATTGGAAAGCACAGGAGTTACCCCCCCTGGGGAGCCCGGTTAGTGCAGAAGCCGCCCTGTCCAAAGGGAAACAGCTAGGTTTAGGCCTCATCCTGAACCACACTGGGGTTTCATGTAAAGATATAGTTTAAAGTGACTGAGTCAATCCTGATATTCAACCCTTCAGGTTCCAAAAAAAGGTCAGGAAGTGGCAATTTCCCTCTGCAGATGGCCCGCCACAGAGAAGCCCAAATCACCTGCGAGGCAGCATGGCACTGTGGGTTATAAACACAGGCTTCAGAGCCAGATCCATCCGGCTTCAAATGCCAGCTCAGTCACGAACCAACGGGAAAGTGACATATGTTCTGGCCTCAGTTTCCTCATCGGTAAAGTAGGAATGGTAGTAACACCTACTTGTCACGATCCCTGTGAGGTTTAACTGAGATAGGGCAGGAGAACGATCACACAGGAGAGGCATACTCCTGTTTCAAATGAAACTGCTGAACGCCCTGGAAGAGACCAGCTCCAATTTTCACTGTAATATGACCCCATACCTCCTTGTCACTCCTAGCCTTTCAGGAACATAGAAATTATAACAGAAGAACAGACCCCGCTCCCGCCTCCAACCAGCTGTCCTCCCTTTGATTTAGCACAGTCCTGTAGCCACAAATAATTTTGGAAACTCCAAACTATCAAGATTCACAAACAGTCAAAAGTCTCCTATACAGATCCCAAAGCCCCAGCAGGAGCTTAGGGTGAGACCTTATTTTATAGGCTAGCCCCCTAAGTACTAGCTTCCTTTGCCCCCAGTACCCCATTATTAGAGAGGCTCACAATCCTTCCTCACTCCCCACAAGGCCCCCAAGCAGCTCCTAATTCATGCTCAGTGCAGACCACCTACCATCTGTGTAGTCCTCCGACGTGAGGGATAAAAGGCTTTGTATGTCACTGTTCTCTGAATCTGGGCCTTCTTTGTATGCCACTCGGCTGTTCCCTGAGCCAGCCACCCAGGAAGAGGTGGTCGCCTGATGCACCATCACAGTCTCAGAGCCTTGAGAACCCCAGGCTTCACACAGTCCAGACTGGCCCGGGGCCTCCTCCTCTCCGCCGGCAGAGGAACAGGCCCCCTGGTCCTGCAACTGCGGCTCCCTTGGCCCATTCCTCCCACTGGGCCCAGACCCTTCTGACAGCACGATCTGCACCCTGGGGTCAGCAGGTGGGACGCAGTGACCAGAACTGCCGTACACAGCTTCCTCATAGGATGGGAGCGCAACCTGGACTCCATCCACCATGATGGACACCTGGTCGCCAGAAACTCCCTGGTCGCGCCTGCAGCCGAAGGAAAAGACAGACGAAGAATTAAAACACACAACTAGATGCCGCGGCACCAACAGCACCAACCATTTCTGAGCACGTACAGTGTGCCAGGCACAACACTATAAGTGCTTTATCCCACTGAACCCTCACCTGAGCCCTGTCGGGGACAGATTCACTAAGAGTGCAGATGAGGCTCAGAGAAGTCAAGTAACCTGCCCAGTCACACAGCAGGTAAGGGAGGAAGCTGGGATGTGAATCCAGTTCCGTCTGCTTCCAGAAACTCTGTTCTTACCCTCTGGGCACAGGAACCCAGCCCTCTCGACCTGTGCAGAAACTAGGAATCTAGAGACCTAAAAATAACGCCATCATTCAGAACAGTTGTAGAAGTAAGAGCACAATGCCTGCATTTATCTGCGGATATACTGTCTGAAGACTGGAAGTGGATACACTCTATGGCATGGGAATTAAAGCTCCATAAAGCGGTTTTTAAAAAAAGGAGGGAGAAGAAGCACTGTGAGACACTGGAGTTGAAATCTAAGGAATTTTGTTCTTTTGACTCAGTTACTTTGTCCTTTTTTAAAAAACTTAATTGTATGTAAATTGTAACACAAACAACACACAAAAATAGAAAAAATATATAGCTTCTTGTTTTATCCCAGAGGTAACTGAAGTATAACCCCTACTAAGGTCAAGACAGAGAATGCTGCCAGCATCCTCAGACACCCTTGTTCCCACTGTCCCTCTGATCTCCTACCTCCTCACGCAGAAATTAATCACTATCCTAACTTTCACGAAAATCATTCCTTTGCTTTCTATCTCAATAGTTTTACTGCCTAAACATGAACCCTTCAAAACCGCAACTAAGTTCTGCGTATTTTCGATCTTGATGTGAGTGGGACATACGATGAATGTGTGTGTACATGTGTACAGGTACAAGTGTACATGTGTCCGGCTTCTTTTATTCAGCTTGATGTGTATGAGATTTATTCACTTTCTTGGGATCACTTTTTAATACACACACACTTTCCACCCCATCCCCCCGCCCCCGATATTTTGAAAGTATGTTATTTTTTTGCTCATAAAACATTATTTGGCACAGTCCTCCCAAGAACATCTTCTCCTATGTAACTGCACCATCATTACAGCCCTGAAATTGAACAACGGTCTAAGACTGTAATACACATTTTTCTAACTATCCCAAAAGAGATGTTTCAGCTGCTGTCTTGTCTGTTCTTTTCGAGGATCCAATTATGGATCATGCATTGCAGTTAGTCCTATTTCATCTCCTTTCTTCTAGAGTTTCTTTCATGACACTGACACTTTTTGTAGGGTCCAGGCTGGTTTCTCCTAGAATGTTCCACAATCTGGACTGAACTGTTTCCTTAGGATGGAGATCCCAAGTCAGTGTTTGCCTGGAACACTGAGTCATCTGTGATGCGTGTCCTTCTCAGTGCATTATGTCAGAGACACAAAAGGTAAAGGGCTGGACTGTTGTTATTAGCTCTGGATTTCCTCATCTGTACCTGCAAACAAAATCTGTGGCGCCCAATTCAAATGGCGCAGACACTGTGAGGATGACAGAAGTGGTACTCAGAAATGCGTGGAGATTTCTGGAAGGAAGGGAAACTAATGGCAAGGGGGCAGAGAAAGCAGTGTGCATTCTGCTATGCGCTTAACTCCCGTTACTTATATGCTTTTTGTTTGTTTGCTTAAAACCTAGTATGTGTACACAGCACAAAATTTAAACAGAGTCCCTATTAAAAACCAAATCATTCTTCTACTCAAGTCAGGAAAAATCAGCCCATTACTTTTAACACACTTACCAGATAACTACAGGAGGAAAATACTCCCTAATTTGAATGACTTGACCAGCAGATCAGCTTGACTTTATGTGGAAATACCTGATTCTTTCAAGTAAACAGTCCCCTCCAGATCCTCTTTATTTTACTAATTGTTTAACAACCTTAAAAAAAAAAAAAAAATAGCTGCAGGGTGCCTGGGGGCTCAATGGGTTAAGGCTAAACTGAGGCCTTCCGCTCCTGTTCCCAGGGTCCTGGGATTGAGCCCTAAATCAGGCTCCCAGCTCTGCGGACAGGCTGCTTCTTCCCCTACCCCTCCCCCTACCTGTTCTCTCAATCTCTGTCTCTCTCAAATAAACAAATAAACTCTTGAAAAAAAAAAAAAAAATAGCTGGAACCTGCTCCCCCAAACAAAACATAAAAAGGAGACAGAAAAATCACACCTAGAACGTCAGGACTTAACCTGGACCTGGTCTGTAAATTCCAGACCAGGAAGCATTTTATTTAAAACAGTTTTGTGGGCGCTTGGGTGGCTCAGTGGGTTAAGCTGCTGCCTTCGGCTCAGGTCATGATCTCAGGGTCCTGGGATCGAGTTCCGCATCGGGCTCTCTGCTCAGCAGGGAGCCTGCTTCCCTTCCTCTCTCTCTGCCTGCCTCTCTGCCTACTTGTGATCTCTGTCAAATAAATAAATAAAATCTTTAAAAAAAAAATTTTTTTTTTTTTTTTTTTTTTAATTTAAAACAGTTTTGTTTGCTCCTCTGGGCCTGTGGATGGCAAAAGTGCCTGAGGAACGGCTATGAGCGCACATAAACCAGTCTCAGGGGAAAGAGGGGCTGCCGGGCCACGCCAGGCAACCCCAGAGGCCAGGACAGCCCTGGAGAGGAGTCCCTCCTAAGGGATACACACAGGGTCAGCCCCTGACCATCTGCCACCCATCCGCCATCTCATCTACCTAGTCTAGGATGACTTGTGGCTAATGCACTCACGGAAGAAGAAAAGTAACAAAGCAGGCAAAACTCCCCCATTTCTAGTGCGGTATTGTGCAGTGGCTGCCAATCCTAGCTGCATGTTAGGACCACTGGGGAAGTTTTAGAAAAAACAAAACAAAACACTAATGCCAGGCTCCCACTCCAAACCAAATTAATCAGAATGTCTGGGGGTAGGGGCCCAGGTGTTGGTATTTGTGTTTAACTCCCAGCAGATGCCCCTATGTGCAGCCAGGATTAGGAACTAGAGGGACAGGACAGTGGCTCACAAACATGAGTCCACAGCAGAATCACCTGCAGCGCTTTAGAAACTCAGTTACTAGGTCTCAGCCCGAGTTTCTCATTCAGTTGGTCTGGGGTGGGGCCTGAAAATCTCCATGCCTAATACGCCCCCATGTGATGCCCATGCCACTGGAACCACACTTTGAGAACCACCAATGCAGGGCAAATGACGTGGCTCAGGGATTGGACATATTTAAGTTTAACTTTCCAGGCAGTCATCATCTAGAGGGATGACCTTGACTTAACCTCTCTGAGCCTCAGCTTCCTGATCTGCAATGTTCCTGTGAGGATAAATCTAATGCGGGCAAAGTGATAAGCACAGGGCCAGCCACATCCAGGAGTCGAACACACAGGAGGGCGTCCCCTTTCCCAGGGCACATATGGCAGAAGAGGCTGCTGGTCTCGCGAGCACCACTGTGCAGTCAGAGGCCAGACCCCAAGATGCGCCTCCCCCCGACCCCACCCCACAAGGGCTCACCTGCTGTGATGGAACGACTTCAGCTTCGGCTGCAGCAGCACGAACAGCACCACGAGGAGGAGAATGAGCGCCACGGAGCTGGCAGTGGAAGCCACTATGGACAGTGTGGGGACCCCCAGGGACGTGTGGGCATCTTTGTCTACAGAAATAAACCATCGTCAGGAGTATGTTATACCCAGACCCAGAACACAGAAATCCCACAGCTGACCTCATCCAAGGTCCCCTGCCTGGTACCACAGCTCTGGCCACTTTAGAAGTTGACATGCGGAACAGTGTTTACATACAAGGAGAGGGGCCATTTCCCCATCCTGTTTCTAAATCTAAAATTCACTTCAGGGGCGCCTGGGTGGCTCAGTTGGTTGAGCGACTGCCTTTGGCTCAGGTCATGATCCCGGACTTCCAGGATTGAGTCCCGCATTGGGCTCCCAGTTCCTTGGGGAGTCTGCTTCTCCCTCCGACCTTCTCCTCTCTCATGCTCTCTCTCACTCATTTTCTCTCAAATAATAAATAAAATCTTTAAAATTCACTTCAGACCGGTGTGGGCCATCTCACGCCTAACTTCCCCAACCCCCCGAGATCTGGCCTTTATGAACCCCTTCTGAGGCTGTCCTCAGGACCATCAGGCATGTCCCTGGCCTTCCACAGTCTGAGGTCCCGCCCATGTTTCCAGCACGTGGCAGGAAAACTGGTAAGAGCGGGGCTGTATAACCCCCTGTTCTAAGATCCTGTGATTTCAGCTGTAAATCTCAGGCTGGTCCCCAGCCTTCTCTGGGGTGTCATGGTCTTGGGGCCCGAGTGTGAAGCACAAAGACGGCTGTCTGACACACGCTTTCCTGCAGGCAGCTGGAGTTTCCTGTCATGCATGACAGGCGGAGGCAGGAGGGGGAGAGGTCTTCTGTCCAGCTAGACTGTAGCTCTATAACAAAACAGTCCATTTCCATTCAAAGTAAAATAATATAAAAGAGACACTCCAGAAGGTGTTAGCAGAACACGGTCAAAGGTCACCAGCACTTGGCTGGGTGAACAGGAGATGCTGAGCATCAAAGGGACTTCACAGAGCAGAACAGATGCCTCAGTAAAGCTCAGAGCCCCTCGGTGGCTCAGCTGAAATGCAGCAGGACACACACCAGCAACCCCAGATGTCCTGCACAAAGACATGAAATCCCAAAGGAAGAGAGGCCGCAGGGCATCAAAGGAGCTATACTGCCCCATGGCACAGGTGCTCTGGAGGAAGTGGGCACCACTGCCTGTCAGTTTACAGGAAGCAGAACCCCAGCAGCCCCCCTTCGCATCTGCCAGACTGACCCTCGTTGAGACGGCAGCTGATCTCCATGGCTGGCTTCCACTCTCCATTCTTACAGGTCAGGTACTTGTAGTCGCCTTTCAACATGTAGCCTTCAGCACACAGGTACTCAATGACGCTACCCGCGTTCAGGGGGTCTCTGCAAGGCCGGGGGTGGCAGATGTAGCCACCATTCTCTGGCTCTGGGGGCAGCGAACACACTGCAAAGACAGAGAGAATGCACGGTGCTATAGTGCTGGGGTTTTCCAGTGGGAATCCCGTCCACGACGGTGAGCCGGATAGTTCCACAGGAGGAACCAAGAGCCATTCCCTTGGAAAGGCTGTTGGCCAAACTCTGGAAATTCAGGTTGCCAAGGACACAGGGAAGCACGCTGGCCACAGGGAAAGTCTGGCTGCTTGCAACATTGCCCCTTTCCCTTGGCACGTGCCTGGAGAGGACTGCATCCATAAGGGAGTGACAGACTCTGACAAAGTTGTGAACTCACAGAGATCTAGCACATAATATGGTTTTGATAAAACCTATTGGGACATACAAAGAATCAGAGTGAAAGGTGGTAAAATACCGTCAGCCTGGGCAGGAGACACATTACCCCTGCTTCCAGCATCAATACGAGCGAGGAGTCCACTGTGTGATAAAAATGTGCCTTCATGGCCTGAGAGGGGATATCTGATGGATTCCTGGGCCCCCTCTCAAGCCCCCACCTTCTGACTGGAGGAGTCACTGCCAGCACTTGTCTCTGTCCCACAGTAAAAGCCACATGTTTTGTTCAGGGAGGACTACTTAGCTTTAGAAATACCTTCCCCTCCCATCCTGTTTATGCTGACAGCTCCAGGAGAAAGGGATCATCACACCCTTTGTCGATGAGCACACTGGCCCACAGAAGCTGAAGGACTTGTAGCCAAGCATAAGGCAGTGTATAAGGGCAGACCTACCCAGTCGACTCTGTCAGAGCAGCTGGAGAAGAAGGGGACTCTGATGCCATGGCCTGCCCTTCCAATCCTGGAGAGATGCTACAGAATGGATTGGGGGGTGTCCCTAGCTATAACAGGAGGGACACAGCAGGGGCACAAAAGGAAGTGCTGTTTGGAAGGCTGGCCTGCGGGGGAAGATGTGCAGGCAGGATGGCCGGCTACCATGAACTTCAACTTTCCAAAAGCCATACTAATACAAGAAAGATAAAGGCGGGGGTGCCTGGGTGGCTCAGTGGGCTAAGCCTCTGCCTTCAGGTCATGATCTCAGGGTCCTGGGATTAGGCCCCGCATTGGGCTCTATGCTCAGCAGAGAGCCTGCTTCCCCCTCTCTGCCGGCCTATCTGCCTACTTGTGATCTCTCTGTCAAATAAATAAATAAAAATATTTTTTAAATGCTTAAAAAAAAAAAGATAAAGGTTTCCAAAGGACATCTGATTTTGCTGACAGATACCCTGCCCCTATCCTGACTATCACAAGAACATCTGTATGAAAATAAGAACTGCTGGTTTTTCTGTTTTTGTTTCCCCCCCCCACTTCCTCTAACAGACCTGGAGTCTGACTGTGCCCCATCCTGTTCACTGGCCTGCCCACCGCTCCCTCGCACACAGATGACCTCACAGTCTCTCACCAAATACCACTTCCCTTCAACCTGCAAACTGCTAGTAAGCAAACTGACTGCCAGCCAGGCGTGGGGGTGGGGGTGGGGGGTGGTCACGTCAAAGAAGAGCTGATAGTTCCCTGCCTACAAGTGGCTTATTGCCGAGGTGGGGAGAAAAGACTCATTTGCAAAGATTCACTAGAAGACAAGGCCGGGATGGGTGGCCCGGGGATCCACAGGAGAGGTGTGGACAGCTTCTCTGTTCTCTGAAACTAACAGATGAGACTAAATAAACCAGGGACATGCCTTCTCCAGATTCTTCCCACGCCACCCACCTCACCCACCTCACCCGAAGTCTTGAACAGGAGGACAGACCCACCATACTCCTTCTGATGCCTCCTCCAACTCTAGCCAACTGGTTCAAAGAAGCTGGCCAACTGGATTTCCAAAGAAACCTCTACAAATGGCTTTACTCTTTACACTTTCCTTCTTTTGTTCAGGGCAACAAGCCTGCCACAAATCCCCCGGCTCTCCTAGCACTGTGTCTAATTGGGGCATTTCCGAAGCATAATTAAAGCTGACCACTGCAGGGCAGCTCCGTGAAGCTGGCAGGACCCACTCACTGGTCCAGCGTGCTGGGAAAGGTGGTCTCAGAGGAAGAACGGCTCATTCTGAAGCCACTCCAGCTTTGCTGATATTCCTGCCCATAAAGCCCACATCTGCACGAATCTTTGCGAGGAACCCTGGAGACCACCGAGCACTCATTTGATCAGTGAAAAAGAATGAGGTCTACAAAGAAGTGACTTGAAATTTCATTTCATTTCAATTCAACTAGTATTTATTATTACGTAGGGGTCATTGTGCTACACTCTGAAAAAGGTTAAAAAAGATAAGCAACTCAGGTACCTGGAGCCAAATAAGGATATGACAAATAAGTATACACATATATTTTAAAAGTTGTTTTCTTTATGGCTTCTGGGTTTTGTGTCTAAAGGACATTTTCCCTTCTCTGAGGTTATACACGTACCCCTCAGTGTTTTTTTAGAATAATTTTACAAGGAAAAAAAATCATAGGAAATACATACACATGATATGTAAACCCTCTCCTGCCTCTGAGTCACTCAGTTCCTCTCTTTGAAGGCACTGCACCCATTTCTTTCATATTCTTCCAAAGATACTCCACAAACAGACATTCTAATACACCTCAAAGAACATGATTAGTGCCACAAGACAGGGAGCACAATGCAGGAGAGAACACATCTTACGAGGGATAGAGTAGGCGAGGTTCAGGAAGGGGGCAGCATTTCAAGTGGGGCTTTATCTCATCAGAAGAAGGTTTAAGCAAATGCAGAGAGATAGGAAAGTATAGGTAAAGCCTAGATAATATCAAGCAGCCCTAGTTAGCTAGGTTGCATAATACAACGAAATCCAGAAAAAAGGGGATGCCTGGGTGGCTCAGTTGGTTAAGCAGCTGCCTTCAGCTCAGGTCATGATCCCAGCGTCCTGGGATCAAGTCCCACATCGGGCTCCTTGCTCATCAGGGAGCCTGCTTCTCCCTCTGCCTCTGCCTGCCATTCTGTCTGCCTGTGCTTGCTCTCTCTCCCTCTCTCTCTCTCTGACAGACAAATAAATAAAATCTTTAAAAAAAAAAAAAAAAAGAAAAAGAAATCCAGAAAAAAATGACAAGCAATGAAACCATCTTGCAGAGGGCCTTGACTGCAACAGGTGTTTGTACTATGTTCAAAGGACAAAGGGAGCTTTTGAGGGGTCTTGAGAGGGCAGACCTACAAGAGAAGCTGAATCTGATCAAAGACGGACAGAGCTTGAGGGAGCCTTAGAGTAAGTCAACAGTAGAGCAATGCTAGCACGGTAAGGTTAAGTGCACGCACTTATTTTATGCTTCCTATGACGGTCAGACAAAGGCGACAATCTAAATGCATCGGGCTCAGCATTGCAAAGAGGCTGTCCCGGGTCCAAGGAAGTAAGGAGGCTGTAGAAGTAAAAACGAAAAGGGGTGGGTAGGTGGAGGCAAGGTCATTTTAAGACACCAGGAACACAAGAAAAAAATATTGCCCTGCTGCCCAGTCAAACATCAGAGCAGGAGAGTCATGGCAAAGAGCAGATGTTCCAGAGGACCCTCTCAGTGATGCCAGGGTTAACAAGAAAGGGAAGAACATCAGGAAGAGCAAATAATCATCCAGAGTCTTCTGGAAGCCACCCTTCTGGGCAGGAGGCTGACTTACTCTACGCATCAGGCTCTCTCTCTAACAACACTTGGTCCACAGAAGGAGTTTCAAGCTCTGTTCTCAACCGCAAGAAGACAATGAACTCATCTGATTTGGCAAAGCTGCATAATTTTTAAAAGAGCGAGAAAGCCAGAAGATAGAAATTTTACAGGAAAAAAATCAATTAATTCTCCTTAGCTTCCTTCTCTGCTTTCCATTATCTCCTATAGCCACTTAGGCCTCCAGTGAGCACAGGAAGCAGAGAGGTAATTCTTCAGGGGCTGCAGAGTGCCTGGCGCACAGCAGTCATTCAGGGAAAGGCCATCCAACCGGTTGGGGAGGGGACAGATGCTCTAGACGCAGAGGAAGCTGGCTGATCTTCCACTCCAAGTCACTGTAGCCTCAAACACTCGGTAGAAAACAAGAACCCTCCATCAGCCCTTCTAAATGGGTTTTGTTTTTGTTGTTGTGGGGACCAGCCTCTTAGGAGGAGGAGGAAGAGGCAATAAACAAAGCAAACTCTGTAAGATTCTGTAACAAGCAAATCAAAGGGAGCTCCAGGAAGGGGCCCAGGATCAAACTGTTCAGTTTAACAAACTGAACAAGCACTTGAGCCCCTGCAAAGGGCGGTGTAGGGAAGAAGCAGTACTACCGCCAGCCTGAGGAGGGGAAAGAGACGTGCATTTTAAGAAGACTCAACAAAAGAGGTTTCTGGCTGATGTCAGTTCTCAAGAAAACATCCTACTCCCAAACACTGGGACTGAGGGCTTAAGAAACTGTCAGTGTTCTCTTTCAGGTTTGAAATAATGCTTTAGACTAAATCAGAGGAGTAACATTGAGAATAAAATTGAGCACAGAGAAGTAGCTGCTTAATCAAGGTATCCAAAAAAAGGATGGCCAGAGAAAAGTTTTCCTGGGAATTCAGGGGACAAGAAAAAGGCTCCCCGAAACCCAGCACACAAACCCAGCAGCTGCAATCATCAGGGACACCACTGGAAGCAGTACTGTAAATGTCCCTATTTGGTTGTGATTCCATCAAAGGACTGGAGCTCGCCTCTCCCCACAAGCCACCCTAAGAGGGCCACCCATGTCACAGGACCATGTGACAGCCTTTTGTGACCCACAAAAGGTTTATAATTTAGAGAAGACAGACTCACATGTATCCAACTCTAATGTAAATCAAAGAAGGAAGTGTTAAAAGGTTAGCTTTTCTACTAGCCTGACACCTCTTACTCATCCGAGCACTGGTGGCAACCGGAGGAAGGTGAGACCCCAGGGCAAAGAGAAACAGGATCAAAAAAATAAGGAGGGGAGGAAGGACCAGATGGACACCACATATCTAGCACAGCACTGTCCAACAGAAATATAATGTAGCCACATAGGTAATTAAAAATTTTCTGCTGGC